CAGGGAACAATTCCTTCCCAATCTCCCATCTAACCCTGACCTCTGCCATTCCCCGTGGGAAGCCATTCCCTGTGTCCTGTCCCTCCATCCCTTGTCCCCAGTCCCTCTCCAGCTCTCCTGGAGCCCCTTTAGGCCCTGGAAGGGGCTCTCAGGTCTCCCTGGAGCCTTCTCCAGGTGAAACCCCCCATCTCTCCCAGCCTGGCTCCAGAGCAGAGGGGCTCCAGCCCTGGAGCAGCTCCGGGGCCTCCTCCGGACTCGCTCCAGCAGCTCCAGGTCCTTCTTACGCTGGGACCCCCGAGCTGGACAGACCACTGCAGGTGGGGCCTCAGAAGAGCAGATACATATATACAGACAGATACATACAGGAAAGAAACTCTATTTCTGTGTTGGAGTGAGTATTTTCTCCTCACCTGCAGTGCCAGGTTAACCCAGCTGCAGGGGCACCTTTCTGTGACAGCACAATTGCAATGGGGGGCATAAATCAAGATTTTTGTACTTGTTTCACTGTTTCAATCCACTTCCCCACAAAATGTAGACAAGTGGAAGACAAAGGCAGTGGGGACAGAGGTGTCCCTGAGCACAGCAGCTGCTGGGGCACAGCTGTTGGCTCACTGCTTTTGAACACCCCAACTTACTGAGCTGGTGATGGGAGTAACTCAGGAGGTCACTGCCACATGCTAAAGGGAATGCTGAGTACAAACACCAATTGATGCTAATTAATGCAGGCTGAGGACAGCTGTTTGTAGGCTCCTGAGAGAAATACCACAGAAAGGCACTTTCACAACCTCATTTCTTGTAAGGTAGAAACAGAGCTCTCGGCAAGGCCTGACAAGGAAAAGAGATCCCTTTCCTTTAAAATAACATTATTGTCTCAGAGAAATGTTAGAAAATCCATATCCTGCAGTTTGACTTGGCTCACACACGGCTTTTCAGCCCCAGAACCCACAAGTGTTCTACAAAGACAGTCCCTATCACCACCTGCACGTTCTGAAGTGGAGCAGAGCAGGAAAACCTGGGCTGTGGGAAGGTCACCCAGCAGGACACGGCAGCACACAGGGAACTGGGGGCTGAGACAGCCACAAAAAACCTGTCTAATATCTGTCTAAACTCTAAAAATACAGCCATGAGTTGAGGGGGAATACAAACCACAGCAGTCCCTGAGGAGCAGCCACCTCATCCCCCAGTCCTGGGAGCTCTGTCCAGCCAGAGCTGCTGCTCCTCCAGCCTGGACCTCAACTCCTGCAGTGCTGGATCCACCACTCTGGGGAGTTAAGAACCACCAGAAATACCAAAGGGATGTCCATCCCTGGAAGTGTCCAAGGCCACGTTGGACAGGGCTTGGAGCCACCTGGGCTAGTGGAAGGTATCCCTGCCCATGGCAGGGGTGGCACTGGATGGGCTTTAAGGTCCCTTCCAACCCAAACCATTTTGGGATTCTGGGATTCTCCCTAAACAAACCAGGTCTCCAACACAAAATCCCTTATCTTCCTGCTAAACCACAAACACCAAACAAGCAGTTTTAAGAGGCAGGTGAAAATTCAAATAATGAGCATAAAGAACACGATAAAAGTAGCATCCAACAAAGGACCAAAGCTCAGGTGCCCAGAATGGACTGGCAATGACAGAAATATTAAAAATAGAGTTTCTGTCACTTTTATTTACAGTACAGGGGTCATTCAACCTCCATGCATTTAGAAAGACCTTCAATTTATTTCTTGTTAAGAAAAAGCTCTCAAAACAAAGCACTTACATCAATTAATAATAAGCACTTGGAAAAATATTGTGGATAAGAGGGGAAGGAAGAGTAGGGATGACTTGTGTATGTTCATGCAACTCTGAGTAAAAAATGGCCTTTTCCCAAAGTACAAAAGCAGGTACAAAGGCAAAGGTCAGGAGACAGGGGAAGAAGCATCACCTGTGCCAGGACCTGCCAAGCTCTCCCAGTGTCACCTGTCCCAGTGCTTGCTCACCTGGCAGAGGTGACATTCTGTGAGGTGCCAAAGCCCACCAGGGCTCCAGCTCTGCCAGGGGAAGCAACGGAGGGGAGAAAACGACTTCTCCAATCCTCCATTCCCCAGGGGCTGGAACTTCAGGCACCACCAAAACCTGACATCTGCAACTTCAACGACCACTAACCAAGAATTCCACATGTTCTGGAGCTGTAAGATGGTCACAACCCATGGAAGGAGCATCCTCTGGGACAAGGCTAAACCAGAAGCTGCTGCTAAATATATGAAGTGAAGGAATGGAGGGAGGGGAAAAATCTCAGGCTTAAAATGATCAGGAAAAAGGCAGAATATTGAAGATGTGCTGGTTAAACAGAGAACAGTGACAGTGTTGAACAAGGTCCTGCAAATATTTACAGCTAAATATTACCTCTGGCTGGACACAGGGCAGAGGTTGAAAGTGCAAATGTGATTCACTCAGCACAGTAAACATGAGCAAGTGAGGATTTTCTCCATATCTACACTGCATTCACAGGACCCTGAGGTCAAAACAACCCTGTGAGCACAAATCCAAGGCATTATAAATACAGGTTCAGTAGCTTCACGCTGTCTTTCATCACACCAAACCACTGTGCTGCAGTTTTCCTGTTTATCACCCTCTAAATCTCTTTTCCATAGTGGACTGTTCAGTTTTGCTATTACTGTCACTGAGCTGTGTGAGAGAACATGTTCTAAATCGTGAATTAATAGGACAATTGGTGAATTAGGACTATTGTGGAATAGTTAGTGGAACTAACTATTGCGTCATAGTTAGGATATAACAGATATAGGATAGATAGGCTATAATGGAATATTCCACTATTGTGGAATAGTTAGGAATTAGTGAATCAGGACTATTAGTGAATAGTGAATGAACTGGGGCAGGAACACTGTGCAGGGTGTAAAACCAACACTGAACAGTGTCCATGAGCACAACAACCTCCAACGGGGGAAAGTTCCCTTCACTGTAGATCAACAATGAGACACAAAACAACAGCAAATGAGATGTGCCAGGTAACTTGTGTCACAGGTGGGGACACTGAATTACAGCCTGACAGCTCTGGGACACCCTGGGGGTTGCAGAGAGCACAGAGATGGCACAGGGTGACTCCAGCACACTCCTGTGAGCTGGGAGCAGCTGCTGCCTGAGCTGCACTAATCACCACAGACAGGGCTCCCACACAGCAGGCACAGAGCACTGCTGGCCAAGGTGGGGGAAGGAAACACATCCACACAGGAGGGGAAAAAAATAGGAAGTGAAAACTGCAGAAATTCAAAACTGACAGGCTGGCAGAGCTGGGGGGGTCACCTGGAGGAGAGAAGGATCCAGGGAGACCTGAGAGCCCCTGCCAGGGCCTAAAGGGGCTCCAGGAGAGTTGGAGAGGGACTGGGGACAAGGGATGGAGGGACAGGACAAGGGGAAATGGCTTCCCACTGCCAGAGGGCAGGGATAGATGGGATATTGGGAAGGAATTCTTGGCTGTGAGGGTGGGGAGGCCCTGGCACAGATTGCCCAGAGAAGCTGTGGCTGCCCCTGGATCCCTGGAAGTGTCCAAGGTCAGGCTGGAGCCACCTGGGCTGGTGGAAGGTGTCCCTGCCCTTGGCAGGGGGTGGAACGAGATGATCTTCAAGGTCCCTCCCAACGGAAACCAGTGTGGAATTCAATGAACATTAACAGTGGATAACCAAGGAGTCAAGCAGAGCCACGAGCACAGAGACACCAGAGACAAAACCACTGGTGAAGTCTGTGCTTTGGGTTGCTTTTTATGGCTTGAAAATAAATTTTGGAGCAAAATATTACCATTGTATTATATATGGTTTGATGATGTTTTTAAAAGAGTAAACCTGTTCCAAGAATCCCTGGCTCTCAGGGAGTTCATTATCCCCCCCTTTTCTGAATGTTGCACAAAGAACAGCTCATCCAAGATCCACTCCACACGACCCAGCCAGGTATTGACAGTGCTTTAAACTCCAAATAACCCACTGGGATGAACCCCAGACATCAGGTGGATCTGACTGTCCTGCAGCACAGACACATCCAGCCCCTCTCTCCTGCTGTTGGCATTCCAGGAGCAGGGAGCAGATGGCTTTTCTAGGCTGAAGTCAGGATCTAACACAGGGGAAAATTGTCACTGGGGGCTCTTCCCAGTAAGTGATCTTAGCCAAGACTGACCCTCGGGGCACCACTGCTGTCCTGGAACAGTCACACCTTCCCCATCCGAGGTCTGTCTCCAGCTTAGTTTGCCAATGAGGCAATTTGGAAAATCTGAAAATAACAAGCAAGACACAATTTCCAGACACTCTTGTGCTGACAGAAGGCAGGTCAAGCTTCTGTGAAGTGAGTGAACCTCCCAAAACACCTGATCTGAATGCCCTGTTTGGCTGCCAATGAAGTAACATCCGACCTTCCCAACTCAGTGAATGCTGGAGGGAATTGGGGAGGTGGAACTGCAGGTACTTTATTCACTCATTTAAGAAGAAAATATATATATATTAAGGTAATCCAGCAGTCTGGGCCCAGTGCCTGTAAGCAGAACAGCACCTTTGTGTCTGCTCTGCTGCAGCTCTTCTCCCTCTGATGGCAGCTTTGCTCTCAGGCTGAGCTTTTATTCCTGTGGACTGAGCCAGCATTCTGCTAAAATCATACTCTCCCACAATGCTGCATGCTTCAAAGAGCATGTTTTTACAAGAAGCTGCCTTCATGCTCAGAAGTCTTGCTGAAAAAGAGGTTAATGCAGACTGAAAATCGTTGTGACATTCTGGACCTTTTAATTGGCTCCCAGCCCTGCTCTGGGGCTCGTATTAACAGGGCAGAGGAGCTGAGTGTGCTCCTTCCCTCTCCCTGACACACTGCCAGAGGAAGGGAAGCATTTGGGGCTTGTTCAAAGTCCTGTGCAATCCATTTAAAAGGCTGAAACTCAGGGAATGTAAATGGGTAACTGGGATAGAAGAGGAGAGTGCTCAGAAGTGGCAATAATGAGTATAAAGCACAGAGAGGTGTTTTTATGTTTTTACCATCGCGCTGAGCGTCTCCTCCCAGTCCGGCCTCTCCCGGGGGTGGATGCTCCTCTGCAGCTCTGGCACAAAGTCATCTTCTTCTGGATGGACAGAGGACTTCATCATTCTGCAAAGGAGGACAGAGGGTTGGACACTCAGTGGCAATTCCTCAGGAATCTCACATCCAGCCTGTTGAGCTGCTCGGTTACGTGACAATATAAAATGCTTTTGTACACCCAGAAATCTCAGTGTCTTCTGAGTTCCTCTGACTTCCTCATCACACAAGCAGGACAAGAGTGTAAATGTGGTGGGGAGAAATCTGCACTTCCCAGCCAATCAATGGATAATTTTGTTTAATCACTGCACAATTTGCAAGTCTCACAACACAGACAACGCAGAGGATTTTCAGGGAAATGGCTCCTATTGCCCAGCAAACATCAGGAGCCTTGGAAGAACAAACACACACATCTGATTCCTTCCTTGTCACTGAAGGCTCTGCCTGAAATGGGGCAGCAGCTTCCAAATCTTAACCTAGATTCACACCCCACGGCCTGAGCCATCAACCCTCACAGTCCTTCCCCATCTTATCTGAAGGGTGAGCACCTCCCACCAGCCTCATGTGAGCACGGGAAACTTTTCTTCAGGTAAGGGGCCAATTTTCAAATACCCTGTGAAGGATATTTCAAGCCTGCACAGAGATCAGAGGCTCAAAATCAAAATTGAGAAAGAATTTATGAAAGCTCCTCAGCCCCTCCACATGACAGCACACACACCCTGTCTCCCTCTCTCTCCCTACATATATATATATATATATATATATATTTAATATATATTGCAATTTCTGCTTATATAAATGTGCCTTTGCAGAGATTATGGCTCAGACCTGAGGCACCAAAGCCCTGCTCAAAGCCTGGTGTTGCCCATCCTGGTTTCATTAAACCTGATATTCAGGCAGACTGTTATTGCATTAATAGATCCCCACTTATTTATTTCGGATATTACCATGCTGATAATCAGCTATGCAAACCCATGGGCAGAAGAGCAGGGCTGGGTTCTAACTCTGCTGATTTATGAAGCACTCGACTGCTGAAAGCCAGTTCATAAAACTCCTTTGCTTCAGATCCAAGACTTGAAGTTCTGAAAGCCCAACATGCAGCTTGACACTGGGCCAAAGCAGTTAACTCTGCTTTGTGCTCTACAGGAGGGTTAAGGATGGAGTAATTAACACCCCCAGTAACGGCAGGGCTGGGTTACAGAATTATATCCCACTGAATTTGACAGCTTTGTGAGCACATTCCTGCTCCAATAAAACACAGCCCAGGGAAGATGGGCCTCCAAGCCCAAACTCCCAGCCCTGAGGGTGATGCTGCTCCGGGGTTTGTGTGGCCTCCCCACCACAACCATCCCCTGCCCCTCCAGAGGCACAAAAAACATCCCCATGGAGAGATCTGGGCAGAGCTGAACAAAATCTGCACAGAAACACCATTATTGGGAACACAGGGGTCCAGTGACAGCTCAGACTGGAGAGCTGCACCTTTGACACGTGCCTTCAAATCATTTGGGGGTTGAAAACCTGAACATTTGTTGCTCAGAGTGGTGGCCCCTCCATTTCTCCTTCGAGGAGATCTGGCCTGGTTCTTACACCCTCAGTAGTTACCACTTATTTTAACTCAAAGTAGAAGGTGAAACCTGCTGGTTGCAGAGAAAACCAGGTTGTGCCACTGCAAAACAAGAGATAAACAATCAAACAAACAAAATTAATTTATAATAATTTTAAATTTGATTTTAAAAATCCTTATTTTTTTAAATCAACCTCATGGTTTTGAAAAAGGCTCAGTAAGTCTTCCCTGAGGATTTCCAGATGTTTGGATTTGGCCATATTGCAGCTGTATTAAAGATTCTAAACAAGTTATCCCACAGCAATTCCACTGGGATGGAAGGTAAGGGAGGGTGATGTGATCAGGGCCCCCCTTTCACAGCACAGTTCAAACAATCAGCTTATCAGATGCTGTCTCAGTTTAAAGACTGGCACATAATGAGATTGCATTTACATCTTTATCAGCACTTTCTAGAGTACAAATGGATTCACTCCACAGTCTCTCAGGCTTCTGGCAATTCCCCCTGGGTTTCTCCTCAGGAATGTGCTGTTGGCTGTGCTGGTGAGTGCAGAGGATAATATGTCCTATTTTCCAATAATCCTGGGAATCAGGCCCTCATTCAGGGCTGTCCCCTCATCCTGTAGAACATGGATGTCACAGCACCCAGTCCTTTTTACCAATTACAATCAATTTACTCACATTATTTCTTTAACCTGTTTATGTCTCTAAAACTCCACGATAAACTCTTCCCAAAGCCTTCCCACCGAGATCCTGGAATAGTCCCATTTATTCTTCCTATGGAAGGTGTTCTGGACTTTTACTGGAAATAAACTGCACCTTTAAAACTGTCAATTCTTTGAGCATTTGCCAGAATATTCGACTACTGCTGGACATTCAATACCTCATCACATCACAGAAATATTGGAAATGATCCTGCAGATTCTCTCCCTGCTGCAGTTCTAAGCACTTGACACCCATCTGTGCCCCCTGATTAATGTTTAATGGGAACTATTTCATGCCAGGCCATCTGAGACAGAGCCCAAGCACGGCTGCAGATGCTGCAGGTAATATTAGTCCTTTATGGATTAAGTCTGGTGGCTTTTCCCTCCCCAGCAGTGACCTGAAGGAAGGAAAATAACCTGGGTGCACTTGCAGCAATGAAACGGGGGCAGGAAAAGGGCCAGAAAGGGGGAAGAGAAAAAGCAGCTTCTCAACACACTCTGCTTTTCACTGTTTCCCCTGGGCATGTAAAGCTCAGAACAAGAGCTGGGGAAGTTTTCCTACCACTGGGAAAATCCTGCCCTCATCCCAGGCCAAGCTTGGAATATTGTACATAGGCATAACCATATTCACAAATCTTTATGCATTACATATGTTTGGCATTATTTTAATTTTCAAAGCAAATAAATAGCAAAACATCCATGTGTCTGATTCACCACACGTGTCAAGTGTAACAAGACTAATTCTCTTGTTTCTGCCATGGATTCTCTTCCATGGGAAGGGAAAACATGAAGGAGCACTTCCACAAAACACTGACACGAGGACCTTGTCAGCACTAAAGGCCAACCAAGCTGAAGAAGCTGCTCTGTAACAGCCACCTTTGGGTATTCCAGGGCAGTTGGAGATGAGTGAGAAGTCAGGATGAAATGTAACCCTGGCCATCAGAACACAAACACCAGCTCAGTTAAAATGCCACTTCTCCCAGTGCTCAGCAGCTCTGCCCTTCCCATGAAATGTGAGATTAATAAAGGTTCTGGCTGCGTGGGGGCCATTAAGCAATGTCTCTGCAGATGAATGAACCTTCCTCATTGTAAATTGAGAACCAAATGTACCAGAACAAATGTTTGCAGCGCACTTCACACGAGGCCCAGCCCCTCTCACACCCCCCTCTGAAGTTCTCTGGGAGGTCAAGTTGATTAATTTAGTCAGAACTTGTACATTCGTACATGACACAA